AATGGTTAAGGCTCTAGACTAGTCTAGAGATCCTACTCAGCTCAAAAATCACAGATAGCTTCCATAAGACTCCTTAAGTCAAAAGACTTATAGTTCAGTACTGCTGTGATTTCACCCTGATGGACAGTTACACTGCGCCTGAACTGCTCTCTCATTCCACTTCCACAAAGGAAAAGCAGGACAGAAAATACAATAGAAAAGGGCTCAAGAGTTGAGATAAGGATAGGGAGATCATTTACCATTTACTGTCACAGACAAAACGCACAGCTCGGGGAGACCAGTATAATTTATTGCCTATTACTAATGGACTAGAGGAATGAAAAACTAAAAGCAAACTAAAACACCTTCACCCTTCATCCATCCTCTTTTATCTCCTCCCTCCCACCCCTTTCTACCTACTCCCTCCACGTTGGGGCAGGGGAATGAAGGTCGTGCTCAGTCCCTAAAGCTCCGTCTGTGCCATTCCATCATGGTCACTCCCTTTTCTTGCTCCAGAGCAAGGACTCTCCCACAGAATGCTCTCTCTGAACTGATCCCTCGTAGGTGTCCCACAGGCTGCAGCTCTTTAAGAACTGCTCCAACATGGGTCTGTACTACGAGGCCCATGTAACTCTCTAGCCCACCTCAACTCAATTCAAAAGGTTAACATTCCAACAAGTGTAACATCTTGGTATTCCTAATCAGAAAGCTGATCTGAGGATCTTCACTCTCTCCATTTTTCAGGGAGGCCTAGATTACCTTCATGGGAACAGTATCAAGATCTGTGTGTGATCTAGTATTTGGGGCAAAAACATGCTTATGGAATTAGTAATAATTTTCCATAATGAAAGACCAAATTGAAGTTATGTCATCATCTGCTATGTGCTTACTAAGAAGTTCTGTTTGATGTACAGTATGTAATATAATTGCTTCTTTCAGTTTACCACTAAGAGTACAGTAGAGATGTAAAATAACAATGGTAATTAAAACGTATGATGCTATTTTTGTAACCTGCCCAGCTCTAGCTTATCTGAAATAAACAGGTCAAAATAAATAAAAATCACTCCTGTGCTACAAACTCTGACCTTGTTGAAAAGATTTCTTCTGTGTTTTCACCACTCCATTAAGTACATTTACAATCGCAGTAACTTCATAATTATAGATACATAATTACAGATTTAACAGATGGGAAAAATAATTAACAGGTGAAATGAGATCAGTGGCCACAGCGACAGCCTGACAAGCACCAAGGAGCTCCTGGTCAACATTGAAATTGCTATATTAACTCTGCTTTCCTAAATAACCAATATGATACGTACACACACCTTCTGTCTCCTCAACTACAGTAAGACAAAAATGCAATCCATTAAATAGCAACAAGAAATGAATGTGGGAGCAGGAAAATAGCAAAAGAGCATACCTGCATCTAGTGACACTTGGGATAAATCAGAAAGTGCTGTGCTCCATGGCAGAAACTATAACAACTTTTTTGCCATTAGAAAGAATTGATAGCACTGAATGGATTCTCTCCCTCAATCATTTGCAGGCGGCTTGTGAAAGACAACAGAACTTTTAGGAAGGCAGAAGAGAGTAACCATATCAAGTCAGATCATCTAGAAACCCTACCATGCAACAAATCTAACTGAATATAGCAATACGTTGTTCCTCATAGAGCAGTCCTGCAGATTGCTTAGCAAAGGACCATCCAAAGGTAATCCAAAACCAGTAAGATTAAATTCAGAGTAAAATATATATATTTTTTATCTTTAAAGAAAAATAAAAATAAAAAAGCTACATTATTCTGCTGATCTGATAAACAGAGATAATTATCTTTTGAGTGGTAATGATTGTTACAAATATTATGCAGAGAAGTTATTATTCTATTTGGCAAAGTTTCTGTATAATACAAACCAAGAATCCCCTTGCCAGACTCTGGTATTCCATCAGTCAGGAAACATTTGCAGTTATCACTTCTGGCATACTGTTCCTGGTGTCTGCTCCATCTGCCTTATCTTACTGCTACGTAACATGTCTTAAATTACCCAGTTTTCTTCCTATATGCAGAAATATACCTTTCTTTCTATATGCAGAATATATCAGAGGCAATGAAATACGTCAAGTAAGAAAATAAAGCAATTATAGACCATCTAAATAACAATTTCTGTAAGGCCTAGGCTTTACTATGGAATTATTACTTCTCTAGTCCATGGGTCCAGGCCACTTTTTTTCTAAGCTGAATGAGAACACAGGAACAAACAGAACATCACTAGCTCTGCCTTGGACTCTTAATGTATGCTGAGTATTCACCCAAATGAAAACGTGTCTTTTGCTCACAAGCACAGCATGATTGAATCCTGGTAACAAATAAATATTTGGTGCTATACTGTTGCTAATAAAATTTCATGGCTGTACACTTATTTTACTTAAAATTACTTTCACATGCTGCCAACCAAAACCTTTGCTTGGTTGCTTTCACACCAAATGAAATAGTATTACCTGGCAGCACCTACATTTTTCTCTTGTGAATGTACATGAACTGTGAACACCTCGTAAGATATTAATGCATTTAATTCAGTTTTTGGAGTTTAGAAGAGAAAAAAAAAAAAGAAGGGAAAAATGGTACTGACACCTGGTATAGTTCACGACATGAGAAAATCCACCCTGGAATTAATACACTGCACTGTTGAAGTGCATTTGTTTCAATAAAGCATTCTTTTTCTCCTATCAGCCTTATTTTGAGCAGTGGCATAGAGTCACAACTGCTGATACGGGTTACCCTGAACTGCAAATACTTTCCATCTCTTACTTGCAAAACAGTTCGTAAAGCGCATTGAAGCAGAGAAGTGTCACCTGTAAAACTCCAAGCTGTTTCCATTTATAGCACAAGATCATCACTGAGGAAACCAACTATCTTCCATTCTGAGCATTTAAAAAGTTCTGATAGAGTAGTCAAAGAATATATTACAAGATAATATGATTTTTTTTTTTGCAATTTCCAACATAAATTAAAATATTACAAGGAATACGCGCTACAGGACTGCTAGTTTATTTAAGAACTTTCTTGAATTATTATTAACTTCTGATCAGTTCTTCTTGCTTCCTACCTAAAGAAAATGTTTTTACAGAAGTGAGATTTGAATGCTTGTTTTTATCACAGACAATCAACTATTCTCACTCCAAATAGAGGGCATAGGAGCACTTACCAATTCTAGAATTAAGGTTAAGGGCAACTGGTAACAATGTTAGCCTATAATCTGTAGCTGCAGTCTGATGGGCAGATACTTAACTATCATTATGTGACCTTTACGTGAGCACAGTAGCAGAGCCTTTCTGCTTTGCTGAGCAGGAGAAGAGCTATTATTCTTGCGGTGAGGAGACAAGGGTGGAGAGGAAAAAATGAAATGGCCAGTGGCTCCACTAGCAAAGTTTTATAGCACCAGAGTACCATTGAATCAGCTGTGCAGCACGGTGATAGCCACGGGCAAATCCTATCCTACAACAATACCACTCTATGTGCCCTGAAAACGCTGCTGTGGAACAAACTGTACTTCTCTAAAGGTTTTCGACAGCAAAGCCATCAGCAAGACCACCGTCTTTAAAAGCACACTCCTTTTGCTGCGGTGACAGTCTCTGCCCGCCATCTGCAATGCGCAGCTGAATAGCCTGTATTGTCTGCAGCAGATGGCAAAGGTATGCATTTGTTATCGTAGTTAAAGTGATCTTTCTCTTCCCTTTAGGGCTCCTCACATTTGGCACTTGCCTGTGCTCCTGGTGGGCTCTGCCTGCCCGCAGATGTGAGCTGGAGTTCCTCGGTGCAGCACAGCAAAGCACTTTACACACAGCAGTACCCCTGCAAATGCCAAGGAGCAGCGCCGCTGCCAATGCAGGAGGAACTTTGCACAAAGTACGTTTATTAGCTGTGACATACAGCACAGCATTTTCAAAGAGCTAAGGAAAAAGACAGCTGCTGCAGTTTCCCTAATTACCTTTCCCCAGACGTCAACAGTAATTTACAATTTGGATGATATTGCTGGAACTAAGTACAATTTAGATCCACACACAAGCTCTCCTCCTCACTTTTATAGGCCATGTGTTATATGAAAATTACTGCTATTCAAACTGTTTCTATGACTTAGGTTATCTTCTGTCAGGTTTTTTACTGCACATTCTTCTTTTGCTACTGGAATATACAGAATTTGCTGTAGACAGTAATCAGATAATCACATCTTGTTTCAAGCACAAGCTAGCAGGATTTGCTACTCGAAACTCTCTAATTTATCACATCAAAGCTAAAAAACATTTGGGATGCTTAGTAAAAATTATGCTTAACATACATTCTATTGCAACAACAAAAAAATCTGTATACAACAAGGACAACATTAATCTCATATAAATCCAAATTCAATTCTAAATTATTCCACTACTCTGGTGTTTAAAAATATGTTATATGTTCAGCTACAGCTTCTGCTAACTAAAATCTAAAAGGATGAATATAAAGTCTGACATATTAAGACATCATCAACAATTGATCTTAATTGCACAAAGATAATAAAACATTTCAAACAGTTGTACCCTTGAAAGATGAATAGCTTTCCTCTGCTGGCAGTAGCTCTGAACTGCTTTACTCACAAGAGGTGCCATTTAAAAAAAACAAACGCAAGGTAAAACTTAAAATTCACGCAGATGCACAAAATTGCTAAGACTAATATTCTAGGCCTAACAGCACACTTGGGTAAATGAGAAGTAAAAAGAAATCAGATCAAATTATTACTTGCAAGCACTGAGAATAAAGATTATGCCAACAGAGACTCGTTACGTGGATCCAGGAGTTTACTGATGCTTTGCATAATTAAATAAGCAACACTTGTTTCTGCAGTGACTTAGACCCACACAGTATCTACTCATTGTGGTGCCCTGCTCTCCTTAATAGATGTGTAGTGAGTGTTTTGTGGCTTTATCACTACACAATTGTACGCCTCTTCTCAATCACGCAGTGAGTCAATTGAGACGATGAGACTTACCCATGTTTTTCTGGATTCTGCTCTGTCAAAATTTCACTGCTGCTTTCGTCAATAGGAAGGATCCGAACAATATATTCTCCACTCTGCTGGAAAAACTTATAAACAGCCACTTGAACTACGCATTGGTCACTGCTGCTTCTCAGCCAGGGGCTCAGGATGACAGGGCTCTCAGATGCATTAAGGAACAGGAAATAACCTAGGACAGATAAGGCAATAATAAAGCTTTAAGGAAAAAAGAAAAAGACAAAAAAAAAATATTGCAGTGCACAGATTAGTGCTTGTAATTTTTATGCCACAACTTATGCAGCATTCTCAGTCATTCTGATATTATTGTTGCCACCTACTTTGGAAAGTGTGCCCTTGAAGGGGTGTTAAACCCTTTATGATCTTCAAAGGCAAGCAACATTTCAATTCGCAGTTGTATTGTTCAAAACAAAGATGATATCTAGATTTAACTCTGGAAAGAAAAGGCATTAAAAAAAAAAAAAAAAAGCCCATAAATAATATTAGAGGGAAAAACAAGAAACAACAAAAAGAAAAATCAGTCAACCTAATTTTCCTACAGAGACTTCCAGATTTAAGCCCAGGCAAGCAACTAAAGAAGTTAATGTTTGGATTCTTGTTTTTATGTACTTATTACTGCCTGGACTTTATTCCTACCTCTGCAAATTCCCAAATGTGGTCTAGAGTCAAACACTACAGCCTTGGTCCAGTGGCATCCTGATTAGACAAGGTCAAGTATTATAACAGATCTTGGTATCTGTTCTTCTCACACAAATAAAGAACACATTTGAAAGTTCTATGTTTGCTCTTCTAAAACAGAAGAGATCAACATTCTTAAGTCACTAGAGTCAGGATAAAACCCTGACATTTTATTTCTTTAGCAATTCTTTCTAATGTATTAATTTTGTATTTTACATGAATTAGCAGTACATATCTCTCTGCACTCCAGCACTGGGGCTGTGCCCACTGCCCTGGGTGGCCTGTGCCATGCCCACTGCCTCTGGGGCAAAGCCTTTCCCTCACCCCCTGACCCTCCCCTGGCACAGCTCCATGCCATTCCCTCTCTGTATCGACCCTTCTCCATCTTTGCAGCCCTCCTTTGGATGCTCTCTAACAGCTTTATGTCCTTAACACTGTGGCACCCAGACTGCACCCAGTGCTGGAGGTGAGGCCGCACAGCGCAGAGGGGACAGCCCTTCCCTGGCCATGTTGCATCGCTGGGCCTGGTGCCCCCCAGGGGCAGTAGGTCCCTGTGGCTGCCAGGGGACACTGCTGGTTCATGTTCAACTTGCCATTGTCCACAACCCCCAGATCCCTTCCTTGGGGCTGCTGTCGCCCCCCAGTCTGTACGTGTATCCAAGGTTCCCCCAACACAGGTGCAAAACCCAACATGGCTCTTCTTAAACTTCATGTGGTTGGTGATTACCCAGTCCTCTGATTTGCCAAGATCTCTGCAAGACCCCTCTGCGCTTGAGGGAGTCAATTGGTTCTCCCAATTCAGCACTGTCAACAGACTTACTTAGGATAGTCCTTTATGGAGTCACTGATGAAAACACTGAAGAAAACTAGCACTACGTGACCAAACCAGGGACTGGCCACCAGCCTGATGTAACCCCATTTATTGCAACCCTTTGTGCATGACCCATCAGCCTGCTGCTCACCCATCGCATCATGCCTTTGTCTAGTTGTATGCTGGGCTTTGTCCAGAGGAGATTGTGAGAAACAGTACTGAAAGATTTGCTGAATCCAAAAAGATTACAACAACTGGTCACCTTGGTCAACTAGGTGGCTAGTCTTGTCTCAAAACGAGATTCAGTTCGTTAAGCAAGACTTTCTCCTTTCGAACCTGGGTTGGTTGTGACAAATAATTGCATTGCCTTTTAGGTGTTTTTCAATAACTCCCAAAATAATCTTCTCCATAATTTCAGTACCATTTGAGGCTTATCCAGTTGGACAGAAGTAATGCATTTTTTATTACACTGTTGCACATTTCAGGTAAATCAAATTACTCTCTTTTCATAGTTGACCAATTTACCAATTTTCCCACAGAGCAAGCACACTGAGGTGTGTAGTCAGGTAAATGAAAGGTCAGTCAGGTAAATGGAAGGGATCAACACTTGAAGCAAGGAAAATTGTTAAATTCCACAGATTGTATGTAGCAAGACTGGTTAGATGTTCAGAAAACAGGATTTTGCTTCCTGCATTGTCCACCAAAAAAACGTTTATTAGTACTTAAAACATACAGACCTCAAAAACCCTTTAATTTCATAGAGAGAGAAATTAAGGCCCAACAAGGCTGTAATATGACTTTTTGTAGGAGCAGCAGCTTTTTTTTTTTTTTTTTTTTTTTTTTTAAATATAAAGGCTGAATTTTCAGAGGAATCTTTTTCCATGTGGCTGAGTAGATACTGCCTAAAGCTCTGCTGAGACCCACAGTGGGTAAGAAATCCTGTGGAGCCACAAATGCACGATGCTCACCTTCACACTGGTGTGTACCAGCCATTCTCAGCTCCCATGACAGTTTGTCTCATCCTAAAAGGATCTGATTAATTGCCTTTCAGCAGGTCCCACTTCTTTCCACTGAGTTGAATCACGAGCTCAGATTTTAATCTCACTGTCACATGCCAATTTAGAAATTGGGAATTGTACTTATGCTCACAAATGTCCCCCACTTTGAAAAAATCTAATTTGGCAGTTAATCTCAGGTTGAATAGAGTAATACCAGAAAGGCTAAAAATGAAATTCAGACTCTTATCAACCACTATATTTCATCCCATACACACACTTATCATAAAGAGCATTTTTGACATGCTTGTCAAAAACAGTCTTCTTGACATTACATCACATCAATGACATATCTAAAACTAGAAAATATTTGTACTGAAAGAAACAAGCAAAAATAGATAAGGTACAGCCTTCTCAGATGTCAAGGCTTGTAAATGAAGAAGTGAAACGTATTTGCTACTTTTCTATTAATAAGATTCCTTTATATGAAATAGTAGCCTTTAATCCAGTTACTAAAGGAATGGCTTGAGGAGTTTAAACAAACTCTGTCATTGTTAGTTTTATATACACAATATTTTTGCTGGTCAGTAAAATAAAAACAGAAACCCAACCATACGTTTCACATTTCTCTCCTTTTATTGCCAACAAAATAGAATTAGAGCACTAAATCTTATGGCTTTAATTGCATCATCCACATAAGAACACTAATCCCCAACATGACAAAGATCAAAAAGACTTCTGCTGGCGGCAGAAAAGCACTAAGCACTGCAGTGATTGCTGATGATAATGTGACAGGTGTAAGAACCGTTGGCTCACCTTACCATCTTGCAACAGAAAGTTTTTTAACATAACAAAGAAACAAATAGAAAGCTCTCATTCCTTTTTCCTTTCCTTTTTTTTTTTCTTTTCTTTTTCTTTTTTTTTTTCCCTTGCAGTGAGTAAACAAACAAGTATACTCTCTCCATCCTGACCTAGGACTTGACTAGTAGCAAACATGACTAGCTGCCACAATAAATACCGTAGTTGCTAACCTCCTATGCCTTGGCTATAGAATCACAGAATCACAAGGTTGGAAATGACCTACAAGATCATCCAGTCCAACTGTCTCCTCATCACCATTGCCACCACTAGCACTAAACCATATCACACAGCACGTCATCCAGACATCTCCTGAACACTGCCAGGGATGGCGACTCCACCACCTCTCTGGGCAGCCATTCCAGTGCCTGACCACTCTCTGAGAGAAAAAGTTCTTCCTTATGTCCAACCTAAACCTCCTCTGGTACAACTTGCGGCCATTACCCCTTGTCCTGCTCGCTGCCTGGGAGAAGAGGCTCTTCACTACAGCCTCCCTGCATGAAGTTGTACAGTGCAGTGAGGTCTCCCCTGAGCCTCCTCTTCTCCACACTGAACAATCCCAGCTCCCTCAGCCGCTCCTCATAAGATTTGTGCTCCAGACCCCTCACCAGTTTCATTGCCCTTCTCTGGACACGCTCCAGGGCCTCAATGTCTTTCCTGTAGTGAGGAGCCCAAAACTGAACACAGCACTGAAGGTGCAGCCTCACCAGTGCTGAGTACAGGGGGATGATCACCTCCTGCTCCTGCTGGCCACACTATTTCTAATGCAGGCCAGGATGCCGTTGGCCCTCTTGGCCACCTGGGCACACTGCTGGCTCATGTGCAGCCGAGCATCAACCAACACCCCCAGATCCTTCTCTTCTTCACACTCATCCAGCCACTCATCCCCAAGCCTATAACGCTGCATAGGGTTGTTGTGCCCAGGACCTGACATTTGGCCTTGTTGAACCACATCTCATTCACCTCAGCCCAGCGGTCCAGCCTGTCTAAATCCCTCTGCAGGGCCTCCCTACTCTCAGGCAGATCAACACCACCTCCCAACTTGGTGTCATCTGCAAACTTACTGAGGGTGCACTCAATGCCCTCATCTAGGTCATTAATAAAGACATTAAACAAGATGGGTCCCAGTTCCGACCCCTGGGGGCACCAGTTGAAACAGGTCGTCAGCTGGACTTCACCCCATTCACCACGACCCGCTGGGCATGGCCCTGTAGCCAGTTCCTTACCCAAAGAAGTGTATACCTCTCCAGGCCACGGGCAGCCAGTTTCGCCAGAAGAAGCCTGTGAGAGACCATGTCAAACTTACAAACTTACATTTACTTACAGGGTTCACCTTGCACAATTTTGGCTTATCGCGAGGATAAGTCTACCTGCTGGTTTATATTGCTAAAAGGAATACAGTTCTGCCACAGTGGAAAGCTACCCCGCCATACTTGCACAGGATGTTAGGAATAGCCCCAAACTACCCTGCTGTGGAGCAATGCCTAGAAAATCATTCTGAAAGACGTAACTATTCAGCAGCATTGGCCACACAAACAGTACTCAGTCAGAAACGTCCTGTGGAGGCAAGTATTAAAGCCAAAACAGATTACCTTTTTATTCTCATTATTTATAAATAAATAAAGGAGAGCATAAATACAACTTTGTCTTGCTTCTGAAAGCTCAGCCATCTTGCAGGTGACGATACTGTCTGCTGTGGAACTCTTTTTGCTCTTACTGCTAACCTGATTTGTAAATCCTATGAAAGAAGTATCAGAGTAGCACCTGGTCCTGTTATTCAGAGTGTTTTCATACTTAAAATGAGAGAGACCTGCTGTGAAAACAGAACAC